GGTGCCCACCATGGGTGACTGCAGCTGGTAAAGCCAGAAATGTCCCCGTGCCCAGGCTAAGGGCTCACTGAGGGCAGCAGGAGCACGTGCTGCCTTCCCCACCAAGCCCCCACAGCTACTGTGACGCCCCAGCCCAGGGATGCTCCAGGCTGGGGAAGCATCGATCTGCTCTGCAGGAGCTGGGCAGCCCTGACACTGCCTTCCCCGCTCCCATCCCAGCCCCGGGCTGTGCCCAGTGGAGGAGCTGGTAGCCAGCCCCCTGCATTGGGCTCTTTGCCTACTTCAAGGAGCTTTGCTCTGCAGGAGAAAGGCTCTGAGGAAACGCTGGGCTACATTCGTTACAAAAAGCCTGATGGGTTTGGATCTTTTGGTGTAAAATCTGAGGATATTGGACAAACCCAGTCCTGTCTGCACAGGCGTGAGGTGCTGTGGGGACCCAGCGCTCCAGTGAGCACCAGCACCTGGGGTTGTTGGGGAGGTGACATCCCAAAGCAGCCGTGCCAGGCTGGGCTAGATGGGAGCTGCTGGCCTGTCAGGAGTGGGGGAAGAGCTGCTTTTGGGCAATGACTGGAGCTTTGTTTTTTACCTGCTGACTTGTCCATCACGCAGTAATCAGGTGAGTTCTCAAAATACACCAGATCTGTTTTCGTGGGCTTCCTGAAGTTCTTGTTGGCCACCGTGAAGCCAGTGCCGTCCTGGTTCATCGTCACCTGGATCGCCCCGTTGTATTTCTTCCTCAGGTAATCTCCTGTTTTTCGAAAATCCGACATTGCCAGCCAACAAGTCCTTAGTGTGCAGGAGCCGCTGACCCCGTGGCATTTGCACTCCAGCTTCAGGAAACGCTTCACAGCCTGCGGGAAAAGGAATGCTGTGAGGACCGGCCATCACGCCTGGCTCTGCTCATCCCTGGTGCAGCTCATCAGCCCTCGGCTGAGCGGGATGGGGCTCCCAATGGAAGAGGGATGCTGTGTATGGAGGACACCTTCCTACGGTCACTGATGCCAGCATCAGCAAGGACACGTGCTGGGGCAAAGGTAAGCAGGGTCCTGCTGTCCCCCTGGGGCTGTTCCCAGGGCAGGGCGTGCAGGGGGGCACCAGGGAGGTGTCCTGCCCTGTCTGCAGCAGGACCTGCCCTCTGCAGCCACCCAGGGTCCCGCTCCACCACCCCAGCAGCTCCCGCTGCCCGTTCCCCTGCCTGGAGGTCCCGGTGGGCCGGCCGGGCACAGGGCTGCGGCGCTGCACTCACCATCCTCCCGCAGCGGTTGTTGTGCAGGTTCATCAGCGCCCGGGCGTCCTTCACTTTCTTCTCCTTGGCATCCACGAAGGCTTTGGCAAACCGGATCCCATAGTTGATGTTGTCGCT